ATAAGGCTAACAGCCCTCTTTGACTTCACAATGCATCTACAAATTTGAGAGCAAAATGCAGAAATGAGGAGGGAAATGGATGCATGGGGATCAGCGTACCTTTATGCTAAAAAGTTAGGAAGTAAATTTAGGAGAATAAACTCCCCATATTTCCTATAGCTTAAATGTGTTAGGAGTCAAATAACTCAAGTTACTGGGTGGAGGTAATCGTTGATTTGAAAAAAAAAAAAAAAAAAAAAAAAGAGGTGGTAGTAGTAGTAGTTCTTAGTACTGTGTTTGGGAAGGTGCAATGATAAAGTCACACCAAGAGAGTGATACATTTTGTAAATCTGTTTCTAGTAAATGAAAATTTAATAACTTGTAGGGATAGGCACATGTAAATCTGCAGCACTATAACACAGCTGTTTTAAAGAATTTTCTGAAAAGGCTGCAGGTCTGCAGGCAACAATTTTTAATAACTGCTGCTATAGGGGAACTCAGATACTGGTGTTAGCAAGAGGAAGGAAGGGTGGGTGACTCATTTGAGCGTATTCCAGCTTGCCTGGCATTCATCCTCATCATGGTATTGGAAAAAATAATTCAATATTAAATTGATTTAAAAGACCAGACCAACGAATGCCAGCCTGTATCGCTTTGTGGGAATGCCCTAGGAACATGGCAGTGCTCTAGGAACTCATAGGTGTGACTTGGGAGAGCTGTGTGGATGTAGCAGCGCTGCGTCTCTGGATGGCTCCGTGTGGGGGACAGCCCAGCCCTCCAGTCCTCCGTTTTCCCTGGCTCCCGCTGCCTCGGGAGCATTGGGATAGCCAGGGCCAGCCAGGGCTTCGGCGAATCTGTCCCCCTGTCCTGACACGTTGCTTCCAGGTGGTGATGCGTTAAGAACTGACTAACTGTTTTATAAAAATTAGTCATCGGTGGTGAATCATTGTCAAATGGAAACGCTTCTAGAAATCTGTTTTAAGGAGGCGGGTTTCCATTAGACCTTTTCATCACGCATCTGGTAGCGAATGCAGCATCGCTACTGATAAAATTGGCAGGCCGTGCCACGCAGGCAGGGTGGTAAGTGAGGACAAGGCGGTTATACAGAGTAATTGGGTGTCTTTGAGCAGCTTTTGGTGAGCTGTATTGAACGAAAATGCATTTTAATAGAAGCAAGATCACAGGGCCTGCAGGTGACACAGCACAGTGACAGGATAAGAGCCTGAGGAGTAGCATCCTTCAGGGTACAGGGAGTCAACAGCTTGACATGCCTGACACGTCTGGAGGAGCCTGCCAGAAGGAGGATCGAGTTGGGAAGGAGTTGGAGGAGGTGCGGGAGGGCTGCATGGTGCCAGGGTCTGCTGGGGGAGCCTGAGAAGCTCCACCAGGATCAGCCAGTGGGATGACGTGGGGGCTGGAGAGCAGCGCTTCCGAGGGGAGCCGCCATGGGCACGAGGCGCCTGGCTAGAGCTGAGGGAGGCCATGTTAGGCTGGAAACCAGGCGTGTGTTTGTAAGGGTCAGGGAGTAACAAATAAATGACCAAGGAAAGAGGTGGATTTCCCCCAGATTGTTCCTGAGGCTGGAGGCCTTTCTGGAAGTGCTGTGTTAGGCAAGCAAAGGTTTGGCTTTCAGCTGTGTGAACTTTACTGGGCCAAACACAGGTAAAACTGAGTATAGAGGTTTGTGGTGTCCCTGTGGCATCTGTAGTTCATGGATGGACTGTCCTGACATGCAAAGTAAAATGTTCCTCACATGCACCGTGCTGAATAATGGAGCACTAGCTGGCCTCTCTGATGGACAGTATAGATTGTGTATGTGCATATACATGCATATGTGTATATGTATATATGTATGTGTGTGTATCCATCTCTGTATGGAACTTATATCTGGATGGTGCCTCCTGATTGGAACACCTAGTTATTCTGTTACATATTTGGAGAGATGCGGAGGAAATTGGGAGTCCGCCTGAGGCTCCCTGTGGAGTTCCTCAGCAGGCAGCGCGGCTCCTCGTGGCTTCCTCACCCCACACGTGTGAGGACGCGGCGGGACGAGCGGAAGGGAGCCCTGCATGCCGGGGAGCCGGGGCAGCGAGCGCCGCTGCGGCAGGGCTGGCAGGGAGTTAGTTAGCCAGTTAGTTAGTTAGTTAGTTAGGAGCAGTTAGCCCTGGACCTCCCCCATCGCGGCAGCCGCGGGGTGAGAATTAGGTACTTTCTAGGAAGGATTAGGAACCTCAGGGAATGAGAGTATTTGGTTTAACATTTAAAGTAGTGTTCTGGGGTTTAAAAGCCTTTTGTACCGAAGGGGAGCTAACCTGGTGGGCAGCTTGTTATCCAATTGTTTGGGAGGGAGCTTCTTTCACAGAAACATCTGGTTCTAGCTGCTTTCCACAACAGGAACTGGTGATTCAGAGACCGCTTCTATATTTAACGTGGCCCCTGCTGAAGCAACGTTGAGGGTGTGTGTTGGGAGGGGAGGTGGTGATAAAGGCTCCCTGCGCTCTGAAATGTGGCCCTGCCTTGATTACAGAGCGGAGGCGCTGATACCCAAACGGCACGTGCACGTCGGGCAGCAAGCTGGCCTCAAGGGTTTGGCTTCTCGGGAATCCCGTTCAACACGGTAGAGTGACAGTATGCAAAGTAATTGCAGATAAAAAAGTTTGAGGACTGGTGTCTTTAGATGTGGAGAGAGCGATGAGAGCGGGCCACGGAAATTTCACATGTTGGGGGAAGAAGGTCTGACCGTGGGGCTTTGACGAGCAGTGAGTGTGCCAGCATCGTCGGTGCCGTGCGGCCGTTCCGCTGCCGCTTCCCTCGCGTGGCTCCGAGGCCGGGCAGTGCCCGCGCCGGCAGCGCCTGCCTCGCGTGCCAGGGAGCCCTTCTGTGCTGCTCCGAGCTGGTGTCCGCACGGAAGCGCCTGTGTCTGCTCAAGGACACCCCGCAGCTCCCGCGTGGCTCTTGTGAGCCGCCTCTTTGCTCTGCCCGAGAGTCCTGGTGAAAAGGAGGCTGCTGAATTACAGTCCTCAAGTGAGACTAATGCAAGAGAAGTTTTTAGGATTCCAGCACAGCTTGGTCCTGCTGCCCTGGGCTGCCTATCTAGTTTAGCCTAGCACCAGCCTGGCAGAGCAGCAGGCAGGAGTACTGGAGCTTCAAACAGAGGAAAAGGCTGTGTTAGGGCCATGGCTGCAATGAAGCGTTGATGAGCTCTGCTCTCTCAGAAGAGCTGCATCGGGAAGTGCACTGTGCAAGTGTGGGATGCTGTGGCTCTTGCGGGAATGCAGCATTTTTTTCCTGCAAACGGTCACCCTAGTACATTTTTCTTTTTGCAGAAGATGCTAAATGTGTTGGAAACATGAATGATATACTGCAGCAAAAGACTCTTCTGAGGTTCTTTTTTTTTTTTTAAATGAGAGGGATTTAATTTGCTGAGTTTTCAGTAGTTCCTCAGTACATGCTATTGTACTACTTGCGTGGTGTCTTACTGTGCTTCTGGCCTGATCTGGGCTGTGATGACTGCACAAATGGCACCATTTGCTAACTGTGGAAAGATGGCTTGATCTGTAAGAGACAATTCTGTGTGCACACATGTGTTTTACAATGTAATTGCAAATCAAAAATTAGGAAAGTTCAGTTAATGCCAAATACAAGCTGTATTCATAGCTCTTGGTGTTCTTGTCCGCCCACAGGAGCTCCAAGAATCAAAGGAGATCATAGAGGAAACTGAAGCCACTTTTGTACTTCACTGGAGTGGGGAAATAATGAAAGAAGTTATGTACTCTCAATATTCAAGATGTCTTAGATTTTTAAGTGGTCTTTGGCCTTCTATCAAGGAACATGTTGCTGGCATTCTGGTTTTGTGCATTTAAAAAAAAAAAAGAAAAGAAAACACTAGGAGTCCCCTTAGCTTTGATTTACAGAGAAAGAACTGCACTTTGCAACCATGTTTTGACCATTTTGGTTTTTGGCATATGGTTGTGGTAATTCATAATTTTATATCCTTTGGGTCTCAGTCACTTAAATTACTAAGAAAAAGTAGTTTGTCTTGTGGTGATTGGTAAGCATGTGTTGCAGTTGGCAGGGGGACCTTGTTTAGGAGCTGCTGGATCAGACCTGTGGTCTGTTGTGGCTTTGACAGTGCCAACTGTCTCAGAGAAAGGCTGAAAAAAATATAGCAGCTACTTTCAGCAACATAACCCAGTTTTAAAAGGCGATTCTCAGTTTCCATTGGTCTACCACTTGCTCATCTTTGCCTCAGAATATGGAGGTGTAGAGCTGCTAATTAAAAATTGAAAACTAAAGAAAGAAATGCAAGTCTAGGCTTGGCAAATAGAATGTTTTGTATTAGTTTGTTTATGCTTTTGCCGGTGGGCTTCCCATAACACTAATAAATTTTAATTTTGATTCTCCGTTACGCTGAGAAGTGCTGCAAGGATCTTTGTTCCAATCTCTGTTCAAACTGCAATCCCTCACAGCCTATAAGAAGCATTTTATGTAACTGGATACATACTGATGATGTGCCATCATCACACAACTTTTTTGTTGTTGTTGTTAACTGAAGACAGTAAAGATTTCTTAATCGGTGAGTCACAGTTGCTCTTATTGTTGATCTTATTTATATGAGTGAGATCCTGTAGTCTAAGCCTGTTGGCCTTTACCTCCAGGGGTGTTTTGATTTTTGGTGAGGATTTCGTTTTTGTTTTAAAGACACTTCATGATTACTCATTTCATTTGTACAGCCAGTTGTATCCTTTCCTGTTAGAGATGGAAGCACAACTTCATTGCAATTCACTTCTGTCAGCCTAACAAAGTGCTGGTGGGAACAGCCACCTCCAGCAAGTAAGTCTGGGCTGGGGCAGGGGAAGGGTTGGAAGCCGGTGGCTTGTGTGAGGCAAAGGAGCCTCGTCCCTGGTTGAACTGAACTCCACATGGGAACCTCAGCCGCTCTCCGGGGTGGGAAGCGCGGCCGTAGCCTCTGAGCCCCACACTCTGTGTGGGAATATGGGCAACATCTCATGTGGGGCAGCTGCCTGGTTGCAGGCTTGTGTTGGAGGCACTGGGAGCTCACAGGGTTGAGGAGGAGCTCTAATAACTGGAGACAAATATAGCAACGTTTCCTACTAATTTATATTCTGCTCTGATATCCGTACTAAATTGCTTTTCAGAATAGAGTTGCGTACTAAGCAATAACGGAGGCTGTTCCAACGTACTGCTAATACTTGTGAGCTGGTTTAGGATGTCTTTAATTTGTGATTTTCTTGTGCTGAAAATGTTGCTGACGTAGGAAATCAAGGGGTTTTGTTCTTGCCACTAGCATAGGCTCACAGATTCTTCCTCCTAAAACTGGTCAAGCTTGAAACTGTTGCCTTTTTCAAACACTGTGCCATGTTATACAAGATGAAATCTATGCAATTCAACTGAATTTTGGGGTTGTAGTCTTTAAGACTGGATACATGGATTACACAATGCATAATGCAATGAGGCCTTGACATAGAATAGGATATTGAACCCTTTATGTAATACAAAAATTAAGTGCTAGCAGAGTCTAGCTGTTGGTCTTAGAGTCACTTTTTAAGAGTACCAGGGAACTCTGATCAAGAGGCCAAAGGCTGGTGCTGGACCAAGCAAGCACAGAGCGTGCAGCTTAAGTGCTGTGGGAAGGGGGAGCCCCCTGAGACGCAGCACGAGGAGGCGGAGGAGCATGATGCTGGTGAGCCACGAGCAAGACAGCAGCTGCCCATCGAGCCTGGCAAAGGATGGCCTTCGCCGCCGGCTCCTGCTGCACTGGCTCTTTCTTTTCTTGACTTGGAAACAAAAATAATGTCCAAATTGTGTCTGCCTAGGTGTGGCAAAGTAGATTCCAACTGAGATGTTCCTGCAAAGACCTTGTGATGCAGAAGCGTTTCGCTGCGAACGTGGACATGGCTGTGTCCATGTGCAAAACTGTCAGCCCACAGCAGTGGGACATCTCCTGTCTCCTTCACATCGCTGTTTGGATCTGTCCTGGGAAGTCACCCGTTGCTGTGTGTGGATGTGCCAGGCTTGGTGACAGGTGTCAAGAACAGCCCTTCTGACTTCCTGAGCCAAGTCTTTCTTGGGACAGGGGATAGAAAGAATAATCTAATTAGGTTTTGTTAATCTTTTTTTTTTATGTTTTTTTTTATGTTTTTTAATATAAATAACTAAGAGAGAGATTTTATACTGTTAGCCTTTAAGGAACATGAGACAAAGATCAGAATTGCTATTTAGCATGGAGAGGAAAAAAAAACCCACAAAACTGTTTTTCTGCCTTTGGATAACATTTTTCTTACTGAAAAAAAAAACATACTTGAGGCGTAATCTGACATACAAAAGCCTTGGTCAAAGACAGGCTGTTGCAAAATTTTATAATAAATGAAATTGATGGTTTCGTTCATGTTTTGGTCTGGCCATGACAAATCCTAAACTTTTAACGGAAGGTTTATGGGAATGTAGTCATATGTATATTATTGCTGTACACCCACATTCGGAGGCAGGAATCCAAGTGTGCAGATGAGATAGCAGAAACATAAATAAAGCAGTTAGCCAGTTGTCTTTAATGCAATTTCTTGACTAGATCCTTGATAAAATAGTGCCAGACTTACGACTAATCAAAGATGACTCGCATTAAGCTGTGATGTGACATGGGTCACTCTCTGGGCGCTTTCTGGCCATTTGATGGCTTTGTTTTGCCTTGGGTCAAGAGTTTGAAGGGAGAGCTGGGTGTTCAAGCAACCCCGGGCTTCCCAGCTCCCTGGCGAGGGGGCCGGGCTGGCTGGGAGCACGGGTGGCTCTTCGTGCTCGTGGGAGAGGAGCACGGTGGCTGTTCCGAGGTAAAGGGAACATCACTTGCTCCCTTCTCCCCACTTTGTGTATGTGAGTAGGCAATGCCCTACCCCATGATATAGAAATACTGCTGGAAGTGACATGAAAGAACAGTTTGCCTTCAGAAAAATCCTGAGTCTTTGCCCTGTTCTGCCCGGGACAACAAGGGGCCAGACTGCACCCCTCTCTGTGGCCCTTGTGTTACCTGCAGCTGACAGCACAATCAGAACCAGGGCTCTGCCATCAGTGGTGAGGGGCTCACACCGAGCTCAGGCTTTCCATTTACCCTATGTTGTTCATGTATGGAAAATCTTTTGGCACGCTGGTAGAAGAGGTAGAAGGTCATTTGAAAGGACCCTTCATCACCCTGGTCAACATGATGCTAAAGGTGCCTTCTGGTCTCGTCCTGCTCGTTATCTGAGCTTGTCCAGAACCTTTTTGTGGATCTGACTCAGCTTTGCTCAGTATATGAAATTCATAGTATTAGGTTGCATAGTGAGGCAATGGTAGCAAGGAACACCAGGCTGCTTTGTCTTCCTCCAGAGTCTCTCTGGACACCTTTGCTGCTGGGCAGCTGCTTTAAATGATGAGTAAGTTGCCAGAACAGGCCCGCACGGCAAGCGGGTGGGGTGAGGGGGTAGATGCGGTGCCTGCAGGGACACGAGGAGCTGCCTCCGCGGGCTAGGCAGGCTGCTCACGGCTCCTGAGCGTCCCGGTGTCACAGGCGGCAGCGGGCGGCGGTACCGGGGCCTGTGCAGGCGGCTGTGCGAGGCGAGAAGGCCGGGAAAGAATCAGCAGTTCCGCTGGGGCATCTTCCTCCAGGAGACACCTACGTGGTGCTTCACTTGCTGCCGGGCAGAGCATAAAGCCGGTGCGGGAATGAGATCTCTCTATAGATAAGATTAAATACAGTTCTGCCTTTCCACGGTTTTGTTTTGCTGCTTTGAGCTGAACTGAAGCGCCTACTAAGAAAGCTGCCTTGCCTCTGTTAAAACAGATTTGACTGGAAAAGGTAGGTTTCAAGAGCTGCTTATTTAGTGTCTTATTTTTGAGATAGTGTCAATCTCAAAGCCGTGGGAAGGAGCATGGCTAAATATACAGGAATGTTGTAAATACAGATGGATTTATCTGGACGTACTGTTAAGCCGTTTCAAAGATAACAGTGCATAAAAAGGTTAAGTTTGATTATACTCTTAATCTTGCTATTACTCCACTTCTATCTTCTTTCTGGAGGCCTGATGATTTTTGTTTTCTTGCTCTGCATTTTACGGCCATGGACACTTGCCATTGCCTAACCAAGAGCTGGCTTCCACCAGTAGCTGGATGGGACAAGGGTTGGCTGCCCGTTCCACCACACAGCACTCGGAGCAGAGGTTGCAATTCCGTCTGGAACACTGGGGTCAAATCATAACTTAAATATTTACTATTGCTAAATTCAGATTGGAGGCTGTCTGGAAATGTTGGTGCAATGGCAGCAAGCAACACAGCTGAGCCTCACCTGACCCTTTTTTGCCAAGTTGCAAGTCTGCTTGTCAGAGCAGGAAGGCTGCTGGGTGAGGAAAGACAAGTCTCAGAACAGGTTTTAATGCAATGTTCTGAATGAGATTTTGAAAAAAAAATACATCATAAAAAGGAGGGAGGTGATCTGAGCCCATCGGCAAAATCTCAGAATTTGAAAATGCATGGTAATGTAATTCCTTTTTCTGCGTAAGCACCAGATTGAGGTACACACCCTGCCCCGAGCAATTATGGGACTAGGAGGACTTAAGCAAATAGCTTGCCTCCTAAGAATGCTGCTTAGGTTGAGAGGAGGGAAAAGAAATAGAGTGAACTTCGCTAAATCCTTTTGAGGATAAAGGCTTCAGCTGCTGGCGTTTCCCTGGCGTGAACCCAGCAGAGGTTCAGATGTGGGAAGTTGTAGGAGGATGTGCCAAGTGTCCCAGTGCAAGGTCGCAGGCACTGCCGTTCATGGTGGAGCTTCAGGCGCAGTTAAAGGTGCTGGTGTCTGGTGCTAATGTTTGTAAACTTACAGGCCATGGCTTAAAATCCCCAAGCCAGCCGCTCAGTGCCAAGTTCCCCTTCACGCAGCCTCCGAAGGTGCCCCGCTTCCACACGAATCCCGGACGCGGCGAGGCAGCACGCGGGGCTGTGGGTCAGCCCGAGGCGTTTGCCGAGGAGCCACGCGAGTCACCAGCACCCTGTGCACGCGAGCGGAGCCGGCTTCGTGCCACAAGCTTCAGAGCCATGTGGGCTTCAGTCAAAGCAAATGTTGATAACGGTTTAGGGTCTAAACCATTTTTGAATTGTTCTGTTTCTCAGATTTTTAAATTAAAAATATATAATTTTGTTACAGCTTTTTTTTTCTTCTACTAATCTTTATAAAGGCTGTTTTTAATTGTGTCTCTGTTTCTCAGTGATAAAAAAGCAACCTCTGGGGAACAGACTTAGCCCATGTGCTTTTATTCTGGTGCTGCTTACTTTGCATCTTCATAAATTCCCCAAGTGCTGTGGTCTGGAGAAGCACCAGATGTTCACTGTGTGTCCATGCACTTGTGATAGTAGTGATGAAAACACTGCCGAAATATCCCTGTCAGAAAGACAGCGGAACAGCAGCAAGTTTGGAAATGGCAGAGGGATTAACTGTTTCGTGCTTGACAGCGAGCAGCTATTGTAGTTTCTTGGCTCGTTGTGCCTTCCCGTTCCAGCGTGCGTCCGTGTTGGCACAGGTTAGAACAACTCAGAAGCATCCAGTTGTGTCTGTGCTTGGTGTTGAGCAGTACTAATTAAACTCTGTCTTTTCAGTGTTACTGCTTCGAGTGTGTTTTAGGAATTCTGTGGAAGAAGATACAAAGTGTCTGCTCTCTGTTTTCGCTTCACTCTGGTTAGATGAAACAGCAAGTCTCTTGTTTGGGATGTGATCTCTCAGCCCTAGCGCCGCTGTTGCCCTCTCTGGTGGCACCTCTTGCCAGGAAGGACCCCATTCGCGATCGTGCAGGTAGGGGTGGCTCCAAGGGCAGCCTGTGGTCTGGAGCACGTGCGTGTGCGCGTCCACGCGTGCTCACACAGACCGTGCAAGACCCACTCATTACGCTGCCAAGGCCCTTGGTTCAGGCGGCTGCGCTCCGCAGCGTTTTCCCGAGAGGAGAAACTGCCGTGGAGTTTCTGTGCCCGCAGGGAACCATCCTTGCTG